CCCCCCGACTGGGGATCGAGCCCACAACCTGAGTATGTGCCCTGACTGGGAATCGAACCCATGACCCTTTGGTGCATAGGATGACGCTCCAACCAAGTGAGCCACACCGGCCAAGGCCCAAGATAGGTTTTAAACAAAAACTGGCCAGCTAACATTTGGAAGAGAAAATATGCAAGAATAGCTATGAAATGTATGAAAAAGAAGATAAAGAGGGAGGAGCTTACCCTACCAGATATCAAAAAAGGTTATGAAGGAGCTGGAATTACATAGTGATACTGCTGTACAGGTACAGAAAAAGATAACTGGATCGACACAATAGAGTTCTGACAAAGATAGTATTTCAGATTAGTGAAGAAAGAATAAGCCATTCAATAAAAGATTTGAAGACAATTGGATCTTCATGTAGGGGAAAACAGTCAACCACAGGAAAAACAAATAAAACCAATGATAGATTTTTTTAAAAATTAGAACAAGAAATGTTATAAAAAGGACTAGAAGAAAATATCAGAGACTACTTTCATACTGTAAAATGACAAAGGCCTCGCCACCAGAACCCCACTCCTTAAGCCATGAGAAGACTGGGAGATATGGTAACAGACTGTGCCCACTCATCCTACTCTTCACAGCTCTTGCCCCCTTTTCCCCTCGATTGTTTGTCTTCTTCCAGTTGATTTATGGAATTCTTTTTATATTGCATATCTTAATCCTTTAGTGGCTTTCGTTCAATTTCAATGTTTCAGATATTCCCCAGTGTTTTTGTCTTTAAGGAGACAGAATGGTGAAGTAAGAAGCACAGGCTTTGCAGTAGGCAAAACAGGGTCCTGCTTTTGGCTTTGCCACTGGGAACTTAAGTTGATGTCCTTCATCTATGGAAGAGGGTGGTACTATCATCCTCACAGGATTGTGGGGATTGAATCAGACAAGCTATGGAAAACTCTTCATCCTATGCTTGACAGAAACCAGTGCTAAGTTTGCTAATGGTGTCACAGATAAGTTCAAATTTATCAAAGATTCTGCCTGTGGTATTAGGCTCAGAAAGCTATTTCCTACCACCAGATTATAAAAATATTGCTTCTATTTTCTTCTAGTACTTTTACGGGTTCCTTTTTTTTTTCTTTTTCTTTTTACATTTACTTGAATATGTTTATTTAAGGCAAGAAATAGAGATCGGTTATTATTTCCCCCTCAAATAGTAAGGTAGCTTTTCTATTATGATTTATTAATTTTCTTCCACAGATTAGAATATTAAAAGGTGACATTTCAAGAGTCTTAGAAACACATGGGTCTGAAGCCATTTAGTCTTTACACATCTCTGCTCTGCTCCGTGACATGTTCACTTTGGTAATTCTCTCTTGGGGAGCCACCTTTTAAAAAATTGTTTACCAGCCCTAGCCAGTTTCCTGAGTGGTTAGAGCATCGGCACATGGATGGAAGTTTCCCAGGTTCATTTCAGGCCAAGGGCACGTACCTCAGTTGCAGGCTTGATCCCCAGCCCCGTCTTGGGGCACTCGCGGGAGGCAACCAATCAGTGGGTCTCTCTCACATTGATATTTCTCCCTCTCTCCCCCTTCCACTCTCTCTGAAAAGCAATAGAAAAAATATCCTTGGGTGAGGATTAAAAATAATAAGTAAGTAAGTAAGTAAATAAAATGACATGCTTTAGAGAAGTCTGATGCAGGATTTAGGTTGCAGTGTTTTAACTGAACCTATTCACACCATGCCTTACACACTGGAGAAGAAAGCTGCTAAGTAAATCTTGTGAATTGACAAGATCACACTTTTATCTCTTTAGCCCTGTCCTTTCTGCCAGGATGACCTAGCTTCATGAGGGTGGAGATTCTGTATCTTTTCTCATTCCAGCCAATAAGGAAAGAAATCAGTGGTAGAAAGAGAGTAATTGGTGAGTACATCAAATCGACATCGTTTGTTCTGAGTTGAACAAATGTTACTATCATAATTCTAGCCTATTAAACTTAAGATTCGAAAGTCTAGTGGCTTGTTATCTTGATTTTAATTCCACAGAGACCTTTGGGAGTGGGGTTCCTTTAAAAATCCCTGGAATATAATTTGTAATAAAAAAAACAGCTCAAACAGTGTCGCTCAGTGGTTGAGCGTCAACCCATGAACCAGGAGGTCACTGGTTCTATTCCAGGTCGGGGCACATGCCCAGGTTTCGGGCTCTATCCCCAGTAGGGGGCGTGCAGGAGGCAGCCGACCCATGATGTTTCTCTCTCATCATGGATGTTTCTCTCTCCCTCTCCTTCTCCTTTCCTCTCCCTGTAAAAAAAAAAAAAAAAAAAAAAAAAAAAAAAAAAAAAAAAAAAAAAAAAAAAAAAA